GGGGGTGGGGCTGCCCGGCGGGCGGGCGCCGGGGGCGGAGCCGCGTGCGCGCCAGTCACTCACAAGCATCGGCTGTGGGCCTCCTCGGTGGGTAGGCGTCTACTCCCAAGCCCGTGGTGCCCAGCAGGACCAGGGCAGCACGGCCAACGGCCCCCTCGGGACAGGCAGGCGGGGCCAGCGCCACGCCGAGAGGCGCAGAGCCCTCCTCACTGCGGTGCTTCGGCGGCTGGGCTTCACCTCCTAGATCAAAAAGAAAGAGGCTCACGCCTGTCATCGCAGCTACTCAGGAGGCTGGGATCTGAGCATCACAATTCAAAGCCAGCCCGGGCAGGAAACTCTGTGAGACTCTTATCTCCAATGAACCACCAGAAAACTGGAAGTAGCACTGTGGCTCAAGTGGTAGCGCGCTCGCCTTGAGCTCAAGAGCTGAGGGACAGTGCCCAGGCCCAGAGTCCAAGCCCCACGACCGACAAAAAACACCACCACCACCTCTCAGGGCCACTGGTGCTCGGAGTGCCGCACCTTCTTCCTGGGTCCCTTGTGCGTCATCTTCTAGTGACAAATCACTTTTTTTCCTTTTTCTCGATCGTAGGGCTGGAACTTATTTCCTGGGCACTGTCCCTGAGCTCTTTTGCTCAAGACTAGTACTCTACCACTTTGAGACACAGCACCACTTCTGGCTTTTTGAGTAATTAACTGAAGGTCAGAATCTCACAGGGACTTTCCTGCCCTGGCTGGCTTTGAACCGTGATCCTCAGATCTCAGCCTTCTGAGTAACTAGGATGACAGGCGTGAGCCACGGGGGCCCGGCTCACTATTTTTATTACTATGAGCAGTGCTGGCCGCAGGGCCTGCGTGTGAAGCAAGCGCTCTACCTCTGAGCCACATTCCTAGCCCCAAATGAGTTCTATCATCAAAGGGAAATGGAGCCGCTGCGGTCCCTGTGCTCAGGCTTCCCTCCCCCCAGCCTCGTTCCCCACTCCTCCCCTGTGCTCCCCGACATGACCGCGGTCTGCTTTTGCGCCTCCGTCTCTGTGAGCATATTGGGGTTCTTTAGAAATATTACACAGTTGGGGCACAGAGGGGTGCGGTCATATGTCAGGAACATTCCTTGTGGACACGGCCGCCCCTCCCTCCCGCTCTCCCACATGTTGCGTTTTCAGTGTTGCGTCCAGTGAGTGCCACTGCTGCTCCTGTTGCCTTTGTCCCTCCATTTCTGTGCCTCCCCTTACCTGCCCGAAGACAGATAAATAGGACAGAGACGGCAGCGAAGAGAAAAACCCTTGAGTTTCTCATTCCCGGAGTTCATTTGCTTTGTTGTTTGGTATGATCAGGGCTCGGAAGGCCCCGGGCCTGTGTGCCTCCGTTGGAGGAGGCTGTGGGAGGCTGGAGTCTGCGGGCTCATCCGGGCGGGCCGCTCACAGGTGAACTCTCGTCTCTGCCCTCAGACTACATTTTCCCAGACCTGACGGGCAAGGCGGCCTCTCCGGAGGACCCCGACCTCCCCTCCGCTCTGCCCAAGATGAGCCTGGCTGAGCCTCCCTGGCATCTGCCTCTGGAAGAGGAAGAGGAGGAGGAGGAGGAGGAGAGGGAGAAGGAAGAAGTGGAAAAGGAGGAGGAGGAGGAGGAAGAGGAGGAGGAGGAGGAACTGCTCCCTGTGAGCAGGTCCCAGGAGGAAGCCCCGACGCTGGCCACCTCTCCCAGCACCACCGGCCGCAGTCAGGAGGATCCTGGGGACCAGGCCGTGCCCCGAGCCGAGATGGAAAGCACTGTGCAGCCCAGCCTGGCGCCGCCCTCAGCCACCCCAAGTCCAGCGTCCCCGGAGGGTCTGGACATCACCGGTCGGGAGGCCGGGCCCGGGGCCGAGCTCCAGGCAGCCCAGGAGGCGGGCGCCGGGGCCACCGCCGGGACCTGGCCTTCCCCGGCAGGAGGCAGGGCTGTACCGCCCACAGAGGGCCCCCGGTACCCTGGCTCTCCAGCCTCCTTCCCACCCACCCCCCAAGACTCAGACCCCACACCTTCTTCCACCGCCCCGAGGCAAGGAGACCCCAGCCGGCAGCCCTGGGACTCTGCTCAGGTAAGCCCCGCACCAGCTGCTGCCTCCATGGTGCCCCTCCTCCCTGCCCAGATACCGGGGTGGGGGGTGGGGGGGAGGGCAGGAAGGGGGGGGACGGCAGGGGCAGAGGGCCTGGGGTGCCGGACAAGGCCTCAGTGGCTACAAAGCCTTTGGAGACGCTGCTGCCAGCCTGGCTTCCCTCAGTTCAGGCCCCGCCTCACGCTCCCAACCACGCGAGGAGCGAGGCTCCCCCCTCCCTGCGGCTCGAGCTCACACTCATACACACTCCAGTCAGTGTGTGCCCAGAAAGGGAGGGGAGGGAAGGGAGACCCCACATCATCAGCCCGTGTGCCTGGCTGAACAGCAGACCAGCCCTCTGAAGCCTGGATGTTGGACAAGTCCCAATCCCTGGGTACCTTGCTTGGCCTTCCTTCTCTTCTCTTTTGCCTGTGCTCTGGAAAAAGACACTAACTCCCAGCTACTATGGGGCAAAGACCAGGAGGAGGATGGTTCCATTATCTGAAGTTAGTGAGACCCTTACCTCAGTTAATAAGCCACATGAAGTGGTGAACTCTGTGATCCCAGTACATGTTGTGCCTTCAGGAGATGGGGGGTCAGGGGGTGAGCTAGGCCTGGGGACGCAACACTCCATACCCGGAATTCAAACCCCAGCACCGCCACACACACACACACATACACACATGCACACACCACACACACACACCATACACACACACACACACCACGCACACACACACAGCATATACACACACACCACACACGGACACATACACGCACACACCACACATGCACATACCACATGCACGCACACGCACGCACACCACACACACGCCCACCACATACACGCAAACACCACACACACGCACACACCACACACGCACACACCATACACATGCACATACCATACACATGCACATACCACATACACGCACACACACGCACACCACACACGCACACCACATACACACACACCACACGCACACACCATACACATGCACATACCATACACATGCACATACCACATACACGCACACACACGCACACCACACACGCACACACCATACACATGCACATACCATACACATGCACATACCACATGCACGCACACACACGCACACCACACATGCACACCACATACACACACAGACCACACACACGCACCATACACATGCACACACCACACACACACCACACACACGCACACCACATACACGCACACACCACACACACGCACCATACACATGCACACACGCACACACCACACGCACACACACACATGCACGCACACACACACACCACACACGCACACACACCTGCAGCCCTGGACTTGTCAGCCTGGCACAGCAGAGGCAGAGCCCTGCAGACGCAGACCCCCTTCCCTGCCCCCCCCTCCCGGGAGGCCCCCTCAGGCCTCCTTTGTCTCTGCTCACAGGTGATCTGCAAGGACTGGAGCAATCTGGCTGGGAAGAGCTACGTCATTCTGAACATGACAGAAAATGTAGACTGTGTGAGTGTCCTGAAGGCGAGGGGCCCGGCCCGGCCAGGGCTAGCCACCGCTCTCCCGAGACGGTGCTCTCCTGTGCTCAACCTCTAGGACCTCCCTCCTCCCTGCCTCTCCCTCCCTCCCTCCCTCTCTCCCTCCTTTCTTTTTTTTTGTCAGTCATGGGGCCTGAATTCTGGGCCTGGGCGCTGTCCCTCAGTTCTTCAGCTCAAGGCTAGTGCTCTACCACTTGAGCCACAGCACCACTTCCAGCTTTTTCTGCTTATGTGGTGCTGAGGAATCGAACCCAGAGCCTCATGCACGGAAGGCATGCATTCTGCCACTGAGCCACCTTCCCAGCCCTCTTCTTTTCTTCTTTCCCTCTTTCCTTCTCTCCTAGTACTGGGACTTGATCTCAGAGCCCCATGCTCGAGATCTCAGCTTTTCAATTCTCCAGGCTGACAGGGTGGGCTTGTCTCTGTGGGCAGTATCTTAACTCTCTGAGCATATTCAGCTCTGCTTTTTGAGACAAGGTCTTCGTTGTTGTTTATGCTCAGGCTGGCCTTGAACCCTTGGGCTCAAGTAATCCCCCTGCTTTAGCCTCCTGAGTTTGGGGACTACACCATGCACTACTGTGTCCCATGGAGTCTTCTTACGAAGTTATTTTCACTGTCAGTGTGGTAATGCACACTTATAATCCTGGCACTCAGAAGACAGGCAGCAGGGCCACAAATTCAAAGCCAGCCTGGCTACTCAGACCCTTTCTCAAAAAAAAAAAAAAGTTGCTTTCTCCCTGTGGGAGTCACTTGGCCTGGTGGTTCGCTTTGGCTCTGCTCTTCCGTGTGTCCGCTCTCCGCGCTGTCTGCCGGTGTCAGCCCTTCCCTGTGTCCGCTCTCCGCGCTGTCTGCCGGTGTCAGTCCTTCCGTGTGTCCGCTCTCCGCGCTGTCTGCCGGTGTCAGCTCTTCCGTGTGTCCGCTCTCCGCGCTGTCTGCCGGTGTCAGTCCTTCCCTGTGTCCGCTCTCCGCGCTGCCTGCCGGTGTCAGTCCTTCCCGGTGTCCGCTCTCCGCGCTGCCTGCCGGTGTTAGTTCCTGGCCAGGGCATCTAGAGCTGCGAGGCGTGTGTGGCACGCCTGTTATTCCAGCCACACTGAGGCACAAACAGGAAGACCACATGACCTGCTTTGAGCACCATGAGGGAGGCCTTATCTGAGAAGCAAGGAGAGTAAGAAAGGGCTGGAAGCGTGGCTCGAGTGGTTGAGCGCCTGCCCAGCCAGCACAGGCCTTGAGATCAATCCCAGTTCTGGAAGGAAAAAAAGAGTTTTGATTGTGCTCAGCAAGGCCTTTGTGCCGGCCCGGCCTGGGAGCTGGGGGTTCTCCATGACACCTGGGGAGGGCGTCTGCGCTAGGGGACTGAACCCTGAAAAGGGTGTGCGGGCTGGGGCCGAGCTGGGCGCCCGGTGGCCCGTCGACGTGCCCTCCTGTGTCCTCTGGCTCTCAGGGACCCTCTGGTGTTGCCTGGCCGTGCCCTTCTGTGGGTGCCGGTGCTAGGGCTGAACTTAGGGCCTCCACTTGGTAGCAGGCTGTCCACTCCCGAGGCGGCCTCCAGCCCTCTGGGCCCTCAGGAATAGGCAGCCAGGACTGGCCCAGCTCCGGTCCACCAGGAGCAAGGCCTGGGGTTGGGCACCAGCTGGTGTAGAAAATAAAAGGACAAAAAAACTCGACAGCAGTCCCTGCTGGGGAAAGTACTGGTTGCCAGCCGCCGTCGCAGAGAGCGGGGTCCGGCCGGCCCCGGGCAGACTTTCTGCTCCTGATTCTGGGCTCTCGCCCACTGGCAAGCCCCAAGCAGGAAGCAGCCGTGACTCTCCTTGGCTTTCCCCGCTCTGCCTCAGGGTCCGGCCGCTGAACTTGTTAATCAGGAAGCTCTGCTCACCCACCTGCCTCCCGTGTCCTTTGCTCTGCCCCCTCCCGTGTGCCTGTGTCAGTCCGTTCTCCATCCCATCTGGCGGGTATGGGGAGGAAGATCGGCAGCGTCCAGTGGAGGGGCTGGACCCCAGCAGCATCGTAGCGGGTGGGTTTTAGCCAGACAGTGTGTTGTAAGTCTTACGGATGCCCAACACCTCGTAAAAACACCAGTGAGCGCTTGGGAAGTGGCGCTGTATTCTGTCTGCTACCCTGTTAGCCCAGAGCTGCCTTGGTTCCTGGTCTAGTAAGACATTCGGTTCATCGCCCCGCCCCTCCCAGCAACGCTTTCCTCCCGGGGGACCCCGGACTCTCCCCCATGTGTGCTGCCTGCTCTCGGTCCTGCGGTCTGCCTGAACAAGAAAGGGGGGGCTCAGTATGGCTCTGTCCCGAGGTAACGTGGATATTAAAGTGCAGTTACTCTGCCTGCCCTGGTCTCGTCTTCTGTGTTAATCTCATTTCATACCCAACATCTTTGCTGTGGTTATCAGCACTGTTTTCAAGGCTACCTCTTTATACTAAGAAAACCCAACTTACCGTCTAACCACTTGTAGTTAAACATATTCCTATTGGTATGAAACCCGGCTGTCCTTGAAGCTGTGTCCACTAGCAAGGCCCTGCTTCCCCCTCCCGGCCCCTGGCCTCCGCCATGCTGTTAGCCATCCCATGTCCGTGTGATCGTACCACATTTGTCATCTCGTGTCTGGCTTTTTTCCCTCCGCATGTCAGCCTCAAGGTGTTTGTGTTGTGGCTGGTGTCACAACTGCCTTCTCCCTTAAGCCTGGAGGGTGCGCCCTGCCATCCATTCATCCGCCGAGCCCCGTGTTCTCGGCTCTCGGGAGAGGCTGGGCTGCTCAGCCTTTCCAGTCTCTTGGAGGAGCCCCGTCCCAGCTGCCCCGTGGCTCACGGGCTCCCATTCCCACAGTTCCAGCACACAGGGCTACGGTGTCTCCACACCTGCCACTGTTCGTAAACCAAGGCCATCTCCACAGCCTTGCGGTGATCAAATGAGCCCTGAGAGGCGGCGTCTCTCCCCCGGGGGAGCATGGGGGGCAGCCGTCATCCGTGAGGGCTTACCGTGTTATCAATCGTCGTGAGTAGACAGTGCCTAACGTGCTTTGTCAGTAGGTCGGTGTTTTGCCTTATGCGACTTGCCCCACCTGCAGCCCTTGCTCTGGCTCAGCCTCCTCCTCCCTGCGTGGATCCTTGTGGGCCAGCCGTCTGTGGCCGACACACCTGCGCTCAGTCGTAGGCCGCCTGGCTCCTGGCTTCCGGAGATGTGCTCTGTTGCTCAGGGGCCTGAGGAGGGGTGGGATGTGGGGGAAGGGAGTGAGTGGCAGAGGGGCGGGTGGGCGAGGCCCCAGGGCCCCTCCAGCAGTGCCACGGGGCTTGGTGGGCGCTCAGGACCACGCCATGACCACGCCCCTCCCCTCGAGGAGTCTCAGCCGGCACAGGTGTGAAAGTCTTGCATTTTCTTGCATTCTTTTCTGTAGTGTTTTTGGCTGTAGTTTCAGACTTACAAAAGAATCCTGTGGCCAGGCGCTGGTGGCTCACGCCTGTCATCCTAGCTATTCAGGGGGCTGAGATCTGAGGATCATGGTTCAAAGCCAGCCTGGGCACGAACACCTGTGAGACTCATCTCCAATAAACCACTAGAAAACTGGAAGTGGTACTATGGCTCAAGTGGTAGAGCGCTAGCCTTGGGCTGAAGAGCTGAGGGGCAGCGCCCAGGCCCAGAGGTCAAGCCCCACAACCAACCAAACCAAAAAAAAAAAAAAAATCCTGCAGAGAAACCCGACGTTGCTTCAACCTGGTTCACCACATTTTGGCTGTGCGCGCGTATGTATTTTGGGGCTTGAACTCAGCCTGGATGCTGTCCCTGAGCTTTTTCACTCAAGGCGAGCGCTCTAGCAGCAAGCCACAGCACCACTTCTGGCTCTTTGGTTGGAGATAACCACCGTGATCCTCAGATCTCAACCACCGTGATCCTCAGATCTCAGCCTCCTGAGTAGGATCACAGGCGGGAGCCAGCAGTGCCCAGCTTTTTAGCATTGTTTTCAAATCATTTGAGAAAATCTTGGAACTCATCCCTCCCTTTGGTTCCCCTCCAGAATACTGGTTTGTGTTAACTCAGGAGTATCTTTGTAGATAACCATAGCACACTTATCAAAATCGGGAAATGAACAGAGGTGCCCGCCCACACCGTGGCTTCATTTGCATTTCACCGGCGTGTCCAGCGCTTTGTAGCAGCGTGTGGGCCTTCTTGTTCTAAATCATAGGTTATGTCCATCTTCAGCCTGTCGTACTCGCAGTTCCTCAGACTTTGTGATGTATTTGAAGATGGAGCGATATGGAAAAGCGTCAGATTCACTGACTTGGAATCTACCTGAGGTTTCACAGGACACTGGGAGGGAGCTGTGTGGAGGATGGAGGCAGAAAGCAGTGAAGCCAGAGCGTCTGGCTTGGAGTTCCGAAGTCGAAGCAGACCCTTGCTCTAGAGATCCAAGAGTCCGAGCCTTTCCCCGGCTTACCACGAGACCTGTTGGTGACCATTTAGTGAGAGCCACAAAGGCCCACGTACCTGTGCAGAGGGCTGGGTTGGCACCTCGAGGAAAGGGGCCAGGCCACGGGACACTCCAAGAGCCCAGGCCACGGGCACGCTCTCACCAGCACCCAGGCCACGGACACACACCAGAGCCCAGGCCACGGACACGCTCTCACCAGCACCCAGGCCACGGACACACACCAGAGCCCAGGCCACGGACAAGCTCTCACCAGCGCC